ATATGATCGTATTATATGATTGTACTGTATATATTATATGATGTAACGGTAAATATTACCTCTATATGACAATGAAAAGCCCAAACACCAGGATTATTGATAATGTAACGGATTGCAGCCCATCTATTTTGTTTTTATTAAAAAGATTAATTTCAGACTAATTTTAGACTAAGTTTTTAGAATAAAAAAGAACAAAAATACATGTAGACAAATAATTACCCATGAGAAGGGACAACAATCGTGTCACGAATAGGTGGATCGACCAAGTTATATCTACTAGTAACAGGCGCTGTCTCATTAGCACCTACTCCTATAAGAAAGAAATTATGTCCATGCTAATAAAATAAAAACAGAAATAAGATTTTTTTTTTAACACAATTATTTAAAAATCATAATTTAAAAAATGGAAAAGCATACCAAGTGGAATGGATGGTCGGAACCATTTTGATCTAATAATTAAAAAAAAAAGTATAAATTAATTAGCATATATATATATATGTATATAGATATATATATATCATGCCTAACGACATATATAGCCTGACGACATAAGCATAAGTATATAAAACAGATACGATAATTACTTAATATAACAATTTCCACAGCACCACCCTCAGTATCATACATATATGCATTAGCATTAATAGGAAATTGCGTAGCACTAATATTTTCGCTCATAATTTGCATAATTGAAGGATTTTTTATATCAGGAACCCAAGATTGATTATTAATATAAGCTTTGGTGGTATTTTTTTCGTCAACACGAAGTGTTACAGCAACAGTAATTGGATCTGTAATTTTTAAAGGCGGTGCTACTGCGTCGTATGGTTTTATTAAATTAGAATCAATATCACGGCATGGAATTAGATTTCTAGACCATTCATCATTGACCTTTGTGGATGTTGGAAGTGTATCATTAGGTGCTCCTTCATATTGTAATATTCCTGTTATATTCCTATTATTGGCAAATGACGAGTTAGCATTTATTGTATTAGATGGACTCGGTACACAATCTTCTGGTATGTCCGCACGTATCCAATAATTGCCAACTTCTTGGGATGCCGCAACGATAACAGAGAAGCGTTGTCCAATATGAATTGGTAAAACGCTAATATTTGATGCTTTTGTACTAACTCCATCAACTTCAATGACTTGTAACATATGTTGATCGATAGAAAACCAGAAAAAAGCATAGGCACTATTTTAAATACAATTTGTTAATTTAAATGGATTGATATTATCTCATAATTGTACATTCAATACAAAAAATATACCGAATTTTAATTTACCTCATATTAATTATACGAAATCGATATCTTTTACCTTTCTGCACGGTATAAATCGCTGGCATATTATTAGGATCACACGTCGATCCAGGCAAAGCCGTAGAACAATTATATTGGCCTCTTCCACTGATAAGACCTGCATCTGGTACAGGCTATATGGAATATTGCGTGATAATAACCGTAAATATTCAATTTGTATAATATACAATATATTAATATATGATAGA